TTAATTAGCTACAGGAGAATTCTTCATCAGATAAATTCTATACCTTTACAGGCAGGTTACACTGCTTTTTAAACCACCCTGCCCTTATAGAGTTTACATAGTCACTTAAGACTGTGCTGTCTCTTCACTCAGGTCTTGCTAAATAGGCATCGACCTTGCTGAAGTTTCTAGAAATTATCTGGCTATAAGGACTTATCTTGGGTTTGCACCACTCTTTGTTAGCTTGCATGCTTTTGTGTAACTTATATATTATACGAATGCCTTATGGGTCCTCCTAATTTGATTAAATTGATGAATACCAGGTTACAGGACTGAGCCCCAACTTTGATGAGCACTGTGCATAACACAACCCTAACAGGGAAAATCGTAGCTATACATAGATAGAAATTCGAAGATTCGCCTTCAACAGGATTTGAACCCTAGACATGCCATTTGGGAGGTGACAACTTGACCACTTCACTAAGTCATCACACCCATAATTGAACCTGAACTAAACTTTAAATTTTGCAGATTTTGAACTTAAATCTGAACTAAACTTTAAATTTATAAACTTGAATTGAATTTGAACTTAAAGTTTTAGTTCAATTTAAGTTCAGTTCAAGTTTATAAACATATTTAAATTCAATAAATAATATATATATATTATATATTATTAAAAATAATTTATTTTTAATAATAAGCTATTTTCATTTTTTAAAAGAAAAAATAAGAACTTCTTAAATCTAAAAATAAACTATTTATATAATTGTCAATAGTTACTCTATAGTAAACTTAAAATTTACTAGGTAAATCAATCTATCTTATTAAGTAAAAGTTTTAAAAAATCAAATATATATGTTTTAAAAGTTTTATTCAAATTAGATAACCTTTTATTAATATATTTTTGTATATTCTATTTGATGAATTTTTTAAAATTTTTTAAAATTTATATTCATTAAATATAAAAATCAAAGTCAATTAATAAAAGTTATTTTATTTATATAAAATTTTTAAAATATATATATTTTGATCTTTTGAACAACTTTTTTAAATAAGGTAAATTAAGGGTATAACAACTTAGAGTAGTAGTTAAGATGTCATCTTCAAGTAGCAGATCTAAAGTTCAAATCTCATTAGAGACATTTTTTAAAAAATAAGCCTGTAAACTGATAACAATTATTCAACAATTAGTTGAATATATCACCTATAATTTTGATATTACTATTATGAAATGAAAGCTCTTGGGTGATTCAAATCTAAGAAATCAAAATAATTGAAACCCGTTTAGCAAAATTCAAGCAAAAAGGTAGTGAAGATCTTTGATGATACTGCAGAAAGTCAAAAACTAGAGACTAAAGAACTGGATGAATACTTTGAAACAAGAAGGATCCACCAACCTGACTATCAGAGTCACATTAGAAAAAAGATCCTATGCTATAGAATTAAAAACTAAGAGAAGTAAAATTAGAAAGTACTTAAAGCCAAGATATAATAATCTATTTAGGCTAACTGGTTTGGTAGTTTGGGAGAGATTGATATAAAAACTGGTTTAATGTAGGTATTAAAATTAAAATAAATTTTATAAAAGCACCAAATATTAGAATTATGCAATTTAATGATTAGCACTGACTGCTAGTAGTGGTTTTAGCTGCTGTGAAAAGTATTCAAAGTCTAATTTGAAAATACATGAGATATAAAAAGATTAGAAAAGTATATACTACATCTTCCCAGAGTAACCCAGTAGTATGAGAACTCTACTAAGTTATATATAGAATTAGAGCACAAGTAGTATAGCATATGTCAATCTGGATGGTCTTCAATTGAAGCAGCACAAGGTTATAAGCTGGCATAATTGTAATAATGGTGCAGAATAGGAGATATCAGAGAGTTTAAATAGATAATCTCTTAGTTAGATTATAAATATAGCATATAGTGTAGAACCTTTAAGCAGACTACTTAAATAGATAACCAAAAATTGTATGTATAGCTAAATGTACTTTCATTAACCAAGAATGTATTATTAAAATACCTAATAAAAATTTGTCTTTCCACAACATTGCAAAAGTAAAAAAAAAAAGAAAAATAAATTAATTTATTTAAAAAAATTTTGACTTTACTATAGAGTAATTACTGGTAATTATATAAATAGCTTGTTTTTAAAACTAAGAAGTTTTTATATTTTTTTCTAAAAAAAAAAATAACTTAATTTTTTTTTATTTAAACAAAGTCACACCAGTAACTCTGTTTATTTAAAGGTAGAGTATATGTAGATTATTTATCATATGATATGTATAACAATTTTTTTTTGTATCACTGATTACATAGTAAGCACAAATCTAATTGGGTAATTACCTGTTTTAGAGATATTTTTACTATGTTTTTTGTATAACTCTAGGAAATTGAGAAATCACTGAGAACTTTATGACATATATATGATCATTTTTTAAAAATAATATAGCCTCCTGAAAGTTTTACTATTATAAATAGAAGGTTTGATTTGTATATTACAAAATTTTAGTAAAATTTAGCTGTGGTTTTGAGAATTTTACTAGCAAGATATTTTAATTTATGTATAAATTCTGTTGTACTACTGAAATCATATGATAAATGATTAACATATACTCTACCCTTAAGTCATCACTTCATAAAAGATATAAAACAATAAAGCTATGGTCCTAACATTCTACAGCTACTTCATAATTAACTAATGGTTACCAGAGTACCCATAGATAACCTGCTACACTAATGAGATATGATTAATTAAGATAATATTCTAATTGGAGAGTTTATCTGACCACTGCTCTACAATAAAATGTTACCAATCTGATAACATTTTCTTGTAGAGAAATAAAAGAAAAAGAAAAATTTTTAAAAGAAACAGAGGTATAAGGGAATACATTAAAAGATACAAGCAAGAATTAAATGAAGTAAAGGAAAAATGAAAAAAAACTAAACTAATATGAAATTTTTCACCCACACCAGATGATCACAATTATAAGACTATGTTATGCTTTATAAAAATTATATACTACATCTAAATTAGTCTCTACTTTAATTTATATAATTAATATATCTAAGATATGAAAAAAAATCTCTCATAAGGTAAAAAAAATAGCTTCCTCAACATCAGCACCATAGAGAGGTCAGAAGGGTCAAAGATTTATACTGTTGGTCTCAAAGCATTGTTTGTTTAGATCGTCACTTTCGAGACATATCTTTTATATGTTTAGTTTCATATATATTTACATGTTTGTTGTAGCAGATAAAAAATAAATAATGCTAATCGATTTGGTAAGTAACAATATATTAATCTTTTGGAGAGGATAAGCTGAGTCACACACTTTTTTATAAAATTTTTCCTTGAAAAAAAACAGAGAATCAACAAGAATATATGAGATTCTTCTGTAAGTTTTACAGTTGTATAGACAATTCTTCAAGCTTCTACTATAAAATAGCCCTTCTGATTTGGATGCCAAATATCTTGGAAAGTCTGTCTGATATAGCAAAAAACTTGACCCTAAGAAAAAGCATCCAAGAAAAATAACTTATTAAAGATAGATTTTTTAACAACATATAATATATATATATAATTCATTAAACTTAAACATATTTATAAAACTTTTGAACTAAATCTAAACTAAATCTAAACTTGATTTAAAAGTTTAATATTGAACCTAAACTGAATTTTTTTTAAAAAATGTTCAAGTTTAGTTCAATTTTGAACTAAACTTAAATTTGGCCAAAAGTTTAGTTTATAAAAACACTACTTCCTATAGAATATAAGCCTGTCTTAAAATCCTAAATTGGTATTTAAAAATAAAAAGGTATTAAGTATTCTTACTCAGTTAGAAGATTAATATACATAGGCATAGAGGATTTAAATAAATAACCCCCTAAGTTGGGTTATAGGTATGACATTTAGTGTAGAACCTATAGTGTACTATCTAAATATAAACTACTTAAATAAGCAACCAAAGTTATATATGTGACTAGTTGTACTCTCCAAATATATATATGGTATAGATTCTATATTATAAAAGTTAACAATAATTAAATAAAAGGAATGAGACCAAGGGGTCACTTTAACGTCAAAAAAAAAATTAAAAATAGAAAAAATTTATAAAATTTAAATAAATTTTTTTTAATAACTATTTAACCAAACTTAAAATTTTTTAATTTTATTTTTTTATAAAATCAAATATCAAATTTAACCAAGTAGTTGTCAAAAAATCGTGCTAAAAAATCTTGCTCAAAATATAAATATCTATCTTTCTATTAATTAAAAAATAATCGTTGGGCGATTCAAATCGGGTGGGAAATACATAGTATACCCCATGTTTAAGCCAAATAAACCAATAACATTCTTAAATAAATTTTACAATATATTTCTCTTTTCGTTAATCTTTTCTAGAGACAAAAACTTTATTACATTGCCGTTTATATGAAATTAATCATATATCATTATTTTTATCTAGCTTGCATAAGCTTTTAACATACTTTTAATTTATTACAGACTAATCTAATGATGCGATCGATAACACGCTATGATCATCGATCACGTGTCCAATGCGATCGTATCACTTTTAAGAACGATGGTTTTTTTTCTTTTTTTTTGTTTTTAGAAATGGTCAAAAAAATGGATCAGGTGGCCAAGAACAATGTTTTTACTACAGAAATAAAAACAAAAAAAAGAAAAAAGAAAAAAAAAAAAAAAACTCAATCTGTAATTTTGATATTCATAATTCCGTTTTCAATAATCGCTATAATCAGAGTCTCCATCGGGGAACACCTTGTGTAGAATCTCTGTGAGTAAATCATGAAACTGTGGATAGCTACCAGAATTCAAAGTTATATTTTTGAATCCTGAAGTCTTGCATACGTTTTGAAAATTTTGTACCACATAGCTCATTACGTGGTCTCGTAATTCATCATACTGCCAAGCCGTCGTAAATAAAAACTCTGCGGCATTATTCACATTCACTCCCCGACATAATTTTACTTTAGCGTGTTGTTGTAAATTTTCGATCAAGTATTTGTCGGCAATTTTGAACATATTTACGGCCGATGTTGGAGAATCTCTGGGTCCGAATGATACACGATTGGTATAAAGAAAACGTAGCATTTCAAGAAATGTGTCTGGATGGAAATCTATAACTTCTATAATAATTCGTTTAGACTTTCTAACGGATAGTGATGAATACACTGATCGAATTGAATCGTCATCATCGTCATCATCACTCTCACTATCAGAAACTCGCCTTCGTTTATGTGAGAATGTTGAATTGCCTCCCAAAATATTGCTGTCCATATCAGTATCTTCATCTTCAGGTGTTGGAACCTGTTGTTGCGGTGGCGGCTGCGTATTTGTAACTTGATCCTCTTCACTTTGGTTGTAAGTGATTGATTCCATCCATCGTCCTTCGAACATTCTTTGAAAATATTCTGACCGCCGTGTGAGTATTGTAGTATTAGCATAAATAGATTGTCCTTGGACTCGAAATTCAACGTCTGCGTGCTCGGGTTTATTCAACTGATCAGCCCATGCGGTTACCAAGTCATCAGGGAATGGCTTACCATTACCAGGAAATCTTGGTTTCTCATCAGGGGTACCGAATTCTGTCTTATCAAATTCTATACCAAGTATTATTTGATCCGAGGGAAGTAGATGCTTTTTGCAAAATCTATTCCAACCTATTCGGTTTATAATTTACATGATTATTCAGCAAATGTCAGAAATATCAGAAATATGTTCATAAATTATGTAAAAAAATCCTAACCTCTTAATGGCTTTATCGCTGAGAATTTTGTTGTATCTAAAGTTGCTTTCTTTATTTCCACAAACGTCTCCGGGTGCTTGATATATATATCGGCAGAGTAAGTGGCTCGATTTGTCCATGTTGAAGTTGTTCCCCCTTCTTCATGACTTGGTATAGCTACTAGATACACGGAACAGTATTCTGGATTTTCTTTCGATGTCTTTTAAATAGGAAATTTTAACGGGAAATTTATTGAAAATTGAAAGAGACCAAATTTCAGTTAGTAAGGTTTATAAATTATGTTCGTGTTCGTTTTCCAATAGTAATGAATCCTCAGATGCCGTTCATTAAGAATAAAATCAATAATGTATGCTTATAAACTTTGCTTGTGCCGCAGCAAGACAAGAATGTCAAAATTCATCCAATGTTCTATACATCAGTCTTTCAAGAGTATTTTGGTTTGTTTCCTTGCTTTCTATAATAAGATGACATATAATTTATGCATAAAATAGACATACCGGCTTAAATTTAAGTTGCCAAAAGGTATCGAACGAAGTTGCAAAAGGTGGACTATATACTTTAGTCGCCAGGTTGTTATAGTTTAACAAAGTAAACTCAAAGCCACTTCTCGCCTTGAATGACATATTGATTTTTGTTTATACTTATATTTTTTTTTCACCTGAACCTTCGTTCTTCACGCTAAATGAACATTAGCAATAAAGAATAAACGGACAATGAAATAATGTACAATTATTTACAGTAGTAAAAACACTATAAGGCTCGCTAATAAGTCGTATTTGTGTATCAGATAATACAGTCAAAATAATTTTTTAAAAGAAGCCTTTGACGTTATTTGAGTTTAGGACTTTTCGTTGACGTCGTCTTTACTACAGTTTCGCTTTGTTGGTACACAAATGTATAATAAAAATTTATATGTTGACTTTTAGAGTAAAGTTGACTCGTAATAGCAATAGGATTTTCCAGCATACTAGGAACTTTTGATGTGGCTGGGTGTTTTTGACCAGAATTAAGATTGGTTAATTAGGGATTATCGATCTGTTTATAAAATCCATAATTCAGCCACGGACTCCAAACATTTCGGTTTTTTTATTGGGAGGATTTTTTTTATTAAAGTTTTCGTGTAACTATTGAAAATTTTAATGGCCTAGGGTCGGCACGGACCAGGGCATAAAATTGAACGTGCGCTTAAGATTTGTCGCGCACAGATTTTATAAAAAAATTATATATAACAACCAGTGTTGGGCTCGCTTATAAGTCCAGTAAAATTGAACTGGAACTGGACTTATATAGGTCCAGAGGTTCAGTTTATAAGTCCAGTAGTCCAGTTTATAAGTCCAGTAGAGCGGATTTTTGGTCCAGAGCCCAACACTGATAACAACTCTTTCTATAATGAGCTCAAATTTTGAAAATTTATTTTTAGTTTATTATAGAAAAAATATAGTTACTATACTATACTGTATATAAGCTTTTGATACTGAGAAAAGAAAAGAAATTAATAACGAAAATTTGATTTTTATATTAAGAATATAAAAACTTTAAGATAATAGCATTTATTTTTTAAGTAAAAAATATTTCTAGACTAATTTTAAATTAGTTAAGCTCAAATTTTTTTTTGAAATTGTTAATTTTGTTTTTTTCTTAGCAGCTAGCCTATTTTTAGTATATATTAATGTTGTTATATAGGATAGCTTTAGACAAATTTGAACAAAAAAACAAATTTAAATTACTTAAAATTTTATTAAAATAACATTTTAATTTTTTAATAGGTAGATTATGAAATATTTAGACAAAAATTATATATATATATATTTTTTACTATAGATTCAAAAGTAAAGTACTTCTATCTAATTTTTTTTTTTACTAAGTAAATTACTTTTGAACTTCTAACAAAAGGTGTAAAGCTTATCAAGATGCATCTAATATTGGACTGAAAATCTTTAAAAAAACATTTCATTAATATATAAATTTTTTTTAAAAAAAAATTAAATTTTCTAAAAAAATTTCATATATTAGCAAAAGATTTTTTAAAAAAGACTAGGCTAATTTAATATTCTTATTACTATTAGATGTATCATTGAGCTCTATGATTTTTGTTAGAAGTTCAAGAATAATTACTTAGTAAGAAACAAAATTTTAGATAAGATTACTTTATTTTTAGATTTATAGTAAAATTAATATATAAAAAACAAACATCCACAATTCTTTCTGACGATCACTTGTACCAAACTTATGGCTAATGAAAACAGAAACTTGTTGAAGAAAAGTAGAAGAGACAACTACAAATA